GGGGGGGGGGGGGGTCTGAGATTTGTGACAGGATGAGGGAGTGGGTTAAAAATTGTCCCAAAAAAAAATTATGGGCGGCTCCCTCAGCGTAAGTACACCTTAGTTGTTATCATAAATTATGTCTTATTGTTTGCAGGAATGAAGAAGTTTGAGTACAAGGGCAAACAGTGGCACGACTGGTGCTTCATCTGCTCAGAGTGTAACCAGCCAATAGGAAACAAGAGCTTCATCCCACGTGACGAGCGCGTCATCTGCGTGCCATGCTACGAGAGCAAATACGCCCAGAGATGCAGCAAGTGCAGCGACGTAAGAAATTTTTAGTAGCCGACCAATTTCTTTTTAAGAACAACTGGTCTACATTTTTGTACAGGCGTAGACACAAGATAAGAATCCTTATCGGGAAACGATTTGGCCGTGCGTAGTTTCCAAAGAGGCGTAGCTAAGGGGGGGGGGGGCAGACTAGTTAAGGGCGCCAAAATGTGCTTTGATATTATTTTATTGATGAAAATAATGGGTTTGAGAGTTGAAAAAAGAAAGGGAGGCTCTTTAAAATCACTCTTGTCCACGGGCGCCAAACACTCTAGCTATGCCTCTGACCGGTACAAACCTATCAATTTCAATTTCTTAACTGATTTTAAAATAACAGATAGTGAAACACTTGTGGAAATATCTTGTCGTTTGGTTTTGTCTGAAGTCTTTTGATTCTCACAATTATTGTACTCAAGGTTCAATGTACAAAACAAATGGATATTTCCCTTATTTGATTAGCACGTCAAGTAACGAGAATGCACTTTTTTCCCCTCAATTCATTGCTTTAACCATCATCAAAAATCTTCCCCCAACGGTTTGACTTGTGTTACATCCATATCATCTCAACGTTAAGGGGAATAACTCTAAATAACTAATTTAAAAAGAGATTCCCATTCTTTTGTTGTATCAATCAACCCAGTTTCTAACCCTTACCGCTCTACCCCCCACCCACCCCACCCCAGGTGATCAACAAGGGCGGCATCAGCTACAAGAACACTCCGTGGCACCGTGAATGCTTCACCTGCACCCACTGCAGCAAGCAGCTCGCCGGGGAGAAGTTCACCTCCAAGGACGAGCAGCCCTACTGCGGGGACTGCTACGGTGAACTGTTCGCCAAGCGCTGCTGTCGCTGTACCAAGCCGATCACCGGTAGGCCCCCCCCCCTCGGACTTGTGATGACAGACTGACAGAATAACTGATAACATATGACAGACTGACATAACATATTACAGACTAACTGATAACATATGACAGACTGATATCTTATGACAGACTGATTGATAACATGTGACAGACTGAGTGATAAAATATGACAGACTAACTGATAACATATGACAGACTGACTGATAACATATGACAGACTGACTGATAACATGTGACAGAATGACTGATAACATATGACAGTTGTTGAATTGCTTAAAATAGTCGAGTTAAAGAAGAACTAACATGTGACAGACTGACTGATAAAATAAGACAGACTGACTAATAACATATGGCAGACTGACATAACATATTACAGACTAACTGATCACATGACAGACTGATAACTTATGACAGACTGACTGATAACATATGACAGACTGACTGATAAACATATGACAGACTGACTGATATCATGTGACAGACTGACTGATAAAATAAGACAGACTGACTAATAACATATAACAGACTGACATAACATATTACAGACTAACTGATAACATGACAGACTGATAACTTATGACAGACTGACTGATAACATATGACAGACTGACTGATAACATATGACAGACTGACTGATATCATGTGACAGACTGACTGATAAAATAAGACAGACTGACTAATAACATATGACAGACTGACATAACATATTACAGACTAACTGATAACATGACAGATGGATAACTTATGACAGACTGACTGATAACATATGACAGACTGACTGATAACATATGACAGAATGACTGATAACATATGACAGTTGTTGAATTGCTTAAAATAGTCGAGTTAAAGAAGAACTAAGAATAAATGTCTCCTGAAGGCTAGAGTCTGGGGCTCTTAGTGTCCAGGGGTGGCATGAAAGGTTCCTATGTAGGACTCATATTTTATTTAACACTTGAAGATATGATTTTTATTTTATTTTAAAGTTTTGAAGTAAACAGTGATGGGAGATAGTTTTAGGGTGAAGCTTTAATGTAATGCCAGTAATGGGGTTCATGGAAAAATTATGGGAACCTCTCTTCAACTGTTCCATCTTCACCGAGTTGTAACAATTCCAAACTATTTCCTTCTCTAAACCAGGTATTGGCGGTACCAAGTTTATCTCCTTCGAAGAGAGGCACTGGCACAGCGACTGCTTCAACTGCTACAAATGCGAGGCCAGCATGGTGGGGCGGGGTTTCCTCATGAACGGAGATGACATCGTCTGTCCAGAGTGCGGCCGTAGCTAGAAACCAAATTTAAAATTTTAGCCAAATAATGATGAAAATCCCTTTTTAACAAATTTGAAAGCGGTCATTTATTTTAACATGTGACGCTGTATAGTCTTATATATTATAGTCACATAACCTTTTGATACAAAAAAAAAGAGTGATTTAAAAAAAAAAATAATAAAAATCACCATTACAAATTTGTTAATTTGAGCCTTACCCTGAAGTGATAAGGGGCGATCACTCCCGATAACTTTATTTTAACGGATCCATTTACTGTTTTATCTAAGTTTGCAAACTCCTGTTGTTTCACATAAGTATGTCAATGGCAGGGCACATGCTAGTTAGAAAGGTAATTCAAGGAACTGTTGAATTCTTTGAGTGGGAAAAAAAAAAAAATGCACTTCACCATAGAGTTGGCTGTGTTTGTGTAGGTGTTCCATCAAGATGTGGGAAACATGTGCGTGTGTGTACAGTTATAATAAATTATTGTAACAAAGTCTAAAGTGCATGACATAATCAATATTGTAATAATCAAATTGCTTGTTTTGTTAAAAGATACAATTGTTCTTGAATTTTTTTTTTTTTTTTTCAACTATTTTTTTTTTTTTAGTTCAGTTCACTTTCATGAAGTGAATGTAACACAGCTTTTAAATAAATATTGTAATAATCAAATTGTTTGTTTTGTTTAAAGATACAATTTTTTTTGAATTTTTTTTTTTTTTTTTCAACTATTTTTTTTTCTTTAGTTCAGTTCACTTGCATGAAGTGAATGTAACACAGCTTTTCTAGAGGTGCAATTAAACATTATTATGATTATTATTCTTTTGTCCACAACTTCTCTTTAGAGGGATTGTGAAGCAAATGATACAAGTGTCAAATGTTTCTCTGAATGATGCAAGTGTCAAAGTTTTCTCTAACTAAACGATGCAAGTGCAAATAAATATCTCTTTTGTTGGCATTAATTTAAAATAAAAAATTGAGAAAGGTTATATTTTATTATAAATTCTTGAATGATTTTATCTTCGAAAATTTTTTTAATTTAATATTGAAATTAGCTGAAAATAGAACTCAAAGTATTTTTATTTTTTCTTATAAGTGGTGGACACAAGATTTAAAACAAATAATTTACTAAATGGATAACTGGAGAAATAAGAGTTAACAAAAAATAGTTCTGACTAATTTAAAAGTATCAACTAGCTATACGTATTCTCAGACCACAAGCTTCAGGAATTTATTCCAATTTATTTTAGAAAATTGAATCGAACATATCATATATCAAAACTGTTTTATGTAAACCACTCTTTTAAACCAAAAATGCTATATATTTATGTTAGTTATTTTTGCTTTTATAAAAATTTGTGTAAAAAGCTTTGTATAGTTAATTTGTGTATATAATAAATATAAAACTTCTTGCTTGTCAACCCCCAGGCCTCTATCAGTTTATGTTGGTTCTGTTATCTGTATAAACTGCTTAAATAATGATATGCAAATGTGGAGCGCTAAAATTTTTAATAATAAATAGTTATGATACTTCAAATACATATTAATTCATATACAGGCACTTTAAAAAATTAACCAAAAAGTAAATTTACAGATAAAAAAAAATCTGTGGTTTTAGTTTTATGTGAAACAATTTGGATTCAAGGCAGAATTTTGAAACTATCATTGACATATTTAATTTACATCCAGTATATTAGATTTGAAATTTAAAAAATCTGATCATTTTGACAAAATTAAGCTTTGTTAACAAAACAATGGCCTTGATTTTTTTTTTTTTAAATATTGAATAAGTAGATATTTCTAAACTTAACAGTGAAAAATTTGATGCTGGTGCTGTAGTTACTTTTTTTTTTTGGTGCTCTGCAGGAATTATAATGTGAAAGAAATTATATGATAGATAATACGTTGTATGCAGTCTGTCTGGAGAGAAAGATTTTGTTTACTCATTAGATGTGTCAAAATTGATTGGCCTAAAGCTCCAATGAAGTACAATTCTGAAAGCTTTTAGGTTATAACTTACGGCCCATTATTTGGAATCAATAAAGGTTTTGATGTTTCTCTAAGCTTTGAACTATCTGGCCAAATACAAAAAAAGCTGAAGAATTGAAATCTTCAATTCTTTCATTCAAGCATCAAGTATTCCTGAAATTTAATACATATTTATATCTAAGTGAACTTCACGAACGATGGTGAAATTTATTTTCCTTACTAGTCTTATTTTAAAACAAAGTGAAAAAAAGATTTCAATTAAACTGAGTGCAAGTGGTATTAAAGTTAACTTCCAACACAGAGTGAATGGAATGCCTTTGTTATAGTTATACAATTAATGTTTGTTTCTTGGATAATGGAAACAATTAATTATGCTGTGTTGTTTTTTATATAACCCTACCTTTGTCATGGCTTACAATACAATGTAAAATGATGCCTTTTAATTTCTTGTTGTAAAACTTGATCCAAGAAAAAAACACTCATGTCCAACATTTATGTTGGCTGAGAAGCAATTATCCCTCCTTTATGTTACAAAATTGTGAGGAGCCTTCCATGCGCTACCTTGGGATGGCAATAGACTATTTGACGCACAGAGTATTTATCAAATCAAGTCTTGTTTTCCCCTTAGGTTTATTCTTATTGTTGAAGTCGAGTCTTAAATATTTTATTTTAGATAAGAAAATTCATTATAATCCTGTTAATTGTTTTCTAACAAGAAGACTAATAATTTTAGAATATATATATTTTTCATCTCGCTGCTGTATTATTACTATTGACCGGCAAATGAATCTAGACAATGTGACTTCATTGATGTCAGGTGGAAAACATCTTTAACATGATGAAATGCCTCCAACAGCCCTCTACGAGATGATTGTTTGGCTTGAAATATCAGTGAGGAGGTGATTTAATAAAGTTAAAAGTCTTCCAGGCACTGCTGGGTAATAACCAAGAATCCACACGTTCTGGGTTTTTATTTTTCCTGTACAGCTGCTTTTGATTTTTAAATTTATTCTTGAAAGAGTTCTTTTTTTTATTGTTCAACAAAGAAAGGACTAACATTATTGTCATGAAAACAAATGATTTTGTATTCCTATCATGACTTTGATAGTAGCTCGTATAGAATTTTTTAAAAAACATTTAAAACTTTGATTTCCGTTGCGTTTGTTATAACATGTTTTTGTATTGCAAGTAGTTGAGTATGTCCCACGAGCGTGTATTAGAAATTCTCCTTCCATTTCAGTTAGAATCTTTTATTTTGAAAGCAATGTCAGGATGCTTGATTAAGACAGTAGTGGTAGTTTGAGCTGAATTAAAGTGAAAGAAATCTCAACCTGTGTTATTTTCTCTTTGAACCTTTAAGTTTTAGCTATGAACCTCATGTCTAGGCTTATGAGTTTCAGTTATAAACTTCATGTCTAGGCTTATGAGTTTCAGTTATGAACTTCATGTCTAGGCTTATGAGTTTCAGTTATGAACTTCATGTCTAGGCTTATGAGTTTCAGTTATGAACTTCATGACTAGGCTTATGAGTTTCAGTTATGAACTTTATGTCAATGCTTATGAGTTTCAGTTATGAACTTCATGTTTAGGCTTATGAGATTCAGTTATGAACTTCAGGTCTAGGCTTATGACTTTAAATTACAAAATTCAATGTTTAATTTTTATTATAAATAAGGAGAGCATATTATTCCGGCTGATAAAGCTAAAAGAAAGTAATAATAAATTGTTGTTTGTGCTATACAATTTTTGTATATATATCATGGCATGAACGACACATACAGGTGTGGTGTATAAAATCTACTTTCATTAAGCTTTATGTCATGCCAAAAAAAGAAAAAACACATACAAAAGCTTTAAAATAACCATATTTATTTTTAATGAACTTGAATGAATTAGGTTTGAAAAAAAACCTTCAGTTATTTAAAGATTGATCACGTTTTAAAAAAAAACAACTTTCTGGTGTTCTGAAAAATGTTTTGATAAGTTCTATTTGCTAATCCACATTAGTGTTAGGATCAAACATTCAGATATCAATGGAGTTTATGGATAACAAGTTAGGTAAATAAAACATGTCATACAGATGAGCATAAAGTCAAATATTTATTTAATACTCATTTTAAAAAAAATTCTCATAATTAAAGACTTGGCAGGGGGGGGGGGGACGGAATATTATCACATAAATTAGATATGTGGCTATTAAGTCAAAAAGGTTTTGTCAGACCCAACCTTAAGTACACCATTTCAGGTA